TTTTTTTTTTTTTTCTTTTTTTTTCTGGAAATTTAAACTTCAGAGTCCAAACGCTTCACATTCCCAGGAATCTCTGCTTTCTGCCTAAGCAGGAAAGTGCGTGATACAATGTTGATTAGAGTTACCATTACTGAGCACTTGTTATGTGCTAGGCAGGCACTGTCCTAAGAGCTTTCTAGGGCTTATCTCATTGAATCCTCCAATCCAGAGGTAGGTACTACTGTTATTCTCACTTAGTGGCAAGGAAGTGGAGACTCAACAGATGTAGTACTTTCCTAAATGGACACACTAGTGAAACTGGGATCTGAACCCAGGAGTCTGACTCCAGAGCTCACCCTCTGAAGACCTGGCTCTAACACAGTGTGGCTTCAGGCGCTCAGGCGATTGCTTCACTTCTCTGAAAAATAAGTGAGTTTCTTTCAGTTTTGCAATTCTCTGGTTTGGGAGTTTGAACATGGCTTTCTTGCAGTATTACCTTCTCCCAAGGTGAGGAGGAATTTATAGGTGCTGTGTACAGCTGAAGTTTGGCCCCTTTTGGCTGTGTTCTATGGTCTGGGGATGCTGGATTCACTCAGCCTGAGCTGTGCACCCAGGAGTGACCCTTAACTATAGTTAATAACTAACTCAAGCCTTAGAGACAAGGGCAGAGCTTGCTGGATTCTACTGAAAACTTGCTGGATGTGGGAGAAGAAAAGTTTCAAGTTTCATTTTCCTGTATTGCTACGTGACAACGCATCACTGGCTTCATCTGTGGTGAATTCATATTTAGAGGAACCAAGAAATTTGCAGGAACACTTCAGAGCAATGCGATCTTTAGCCGATGCCAAAGACATGACCAAATGAATTCTGGGCTGTGGTCTGATTTTTGCCCTACCCAGACTGGGTTCTCTGGGCTTTCTGTTTTTCCCCCTCCTCTTCCTGGTGTCCATCCAGCCTGTCTATATCCAGTAACAGATAGATACTGCCTCAACCCAGCCAAGCTTTCTGCCAGAAATACTTTAGCTGATTCACATGATCTTGACTCTTAACCCATCCTCTGTAAGGAAATCCAAATGTTTGGGGAAAGATATTTGAAGAATCTGAGAACTTCTCTTTTAAGGCGACAGAGAAACCCTGGTCTCCATAGAGATGTTGGGAGCATCTGCTGAGACTTTAACTTCTGAAACCAGCACAAAGGTCTTCTCCAGCTAGGGTCCATCCCTTAATGACTTTGAGGGCTCAGAGCTGTTTGTTTCTGTCATTGTTCTTGTTTCTGTCTCTGTGATTATCCCACCTTTTTCTGAAACAATCAGAAGTGTGTTCACCTTTGCCTATGGAGGCAATGCTGTTGCCATTACAGCCACACACAGCCTTTGAATTATTTCCAGGTAGGGGAGTTTCTTTTCTATTGACTGAAGCCACTTCTTTTCTGCTTGGATCAAAGATATACCGTGTTTTTAGGAGATCACTTCAGCCACACAGAGGTCCCACTGGAGCCAACTCAGCTCACTTATAATTATATGCTGTTTACAATAACCTTCAGAAATAATTGCACATATTTTACAATTCTCACTGTGATCTCTACAAAAGAGACTTTTCTGTTTTCGGGGGAGTCAGATCACTTCAGAATCTTACCATCTTAAAAAGAAATAAACATTTGATATCTTTATTGTCTTGTTAGATCCTTACTTATATTTCCTTCACTTTGCTAATCCAAAAGGGAAGATGTGGGGTGCCTGGGTGGCTCAGTCAATTGAGAGTCTGACTCTTGATTTTGGCTCAGGTCACGATCCCAGGGTTGTGACATCGAGCCCTGCGTTGGGTTCTGTGCTGAGCGTGGAGCCCACTTGAGATTCCCTCTCTTTCTCTCTCTCTCTCTCTCTCTCTCTCTCTCCCTCCCTCCTTCTGCCCCTCTACCTGGCTTATGAGATTCTCTCTCTTTCTCTCTCTTCCTCCCTCCCTCTGCCCCTCTACCTGGCTTGTGCTAGCTCTCTCTCTCTAAAAAAACACAGAAACAAAAAAGAAAACAGAAAGGAAGATGCTTTTGCATAAGCTCTTGATTTGCTGAAGTTAAATTACATATTCTGTTATTTAACACTGCTAACTGACATTCTGCAGTCAAACCAAATGAAGTCTGAATTTTAATCAATACCTGGCATTTCACCTTGGACTTAATTGAGTAATTCTAGACCAGGACCATAGCCTTGAGAACTCTCAGCCTTTGGTACTGATAAATGAAGTGATTGGTTAGAAACATTAAACCCTTAAAATGAGGATTCCCTACTAAGTCATTCTATTTCTTCTTCTTTCAAGGAAGCAACTGTGTACAGAATGGATCGGAAGCACAGAGGCCACTGTGTTGTTGTCAATAACCACAGCTTTACCTCACTCTCAGATCGACCAGGGACTCATAGAGATGCTGGTAAGAAAGTCTGAATAGTCTATAAGATGCAAGTTGGGGATCTTAAAATCATTTTTTTTTAATTTTCATATTTTCTTTCTGTAATTTTTTATCTTCCATTTATTTTATTTTTTTTAGCGTTTATTTATTTTTGAGACAGAGAGAGACAGAGCATGAACGGGGGAGGGGCAGAGAGAGAGGGAGACACAGAATCGGAAGCAGGCTCCAGGCTCTGAGCCATCAGCCCAGAGCCCAATGCGGGGCTCGAACTCACGGACCACGAGATCGTGACCTGAGCTGAAGTCGGATGCTTAACCGACTGAGCCACCCAGGCGCCCCTATCTTCCATTTAAATGTAAGGATGATATGGGGCACCTGGATGACTCAGTTGGTTAAGCATCTGACTACAGCTCAGGTCATGATCTCAGGGTTTGTGGGTTGGAGTCCTGTATCTGGCTCTGTGCTGACAGCTCAGAGCCTGGAGCCTTCCTGGATTCTGTGTCTCCCTCTCTCGCTACCACTCCCCCACTCATGCTCTGTCTCTCTCTCCCTCTCTCTCTGTCTCAAAAATAAATAAACATTAAAAAAATTTAAATGTAAGGATAATATAAATGTTCTAAGCCTCTTGTATATCCCAGGTGTCTTAGCCTACCTGGGCTGCTGTAATGAAATACTATAAACTAGATGGCTTATAAATGACACACATTTATTTCTAACAGTTCTGGAGGCTGGGAAGTCCAAGATCAAGGCTCTGACATTTTGTTGCCTGGTGAAAGCCCGCTTCCTAGGTGGCAGTCTTTGTGCCGTGTCCTCACATGGCAGAAGAGCTTTCTGGAGTCTCTTTTTTTTTTTTTTTTTTTTTTTTTTCCTGGGGTCTCTTTATGGGCTCTCCCCTCACGACCTGATCACCTCCCAAAGGCCCCACTTCCTCATACCCTCACCTTGGGGGTTAGGATTTCAACATATGAATTTTAGGGGGACACAAACATGAAGACCATAGCACTTGGGGTATTACCAATCTGTTGAAAGAGCAAAAGGAGTCCCTGACCATGTACAGCTCTGTGGGTTGGGGGAAAGCATGGTGCATCGGCAACAAAAAAACTGGGTTTGAGCTGTGGCTCCACCACAAACTAGTTTGTGACCGTGGGTGAGTCCTGGGCCTCGGCTTCCTCATCTGTGAAGTAGGATGAAACTGTGGCCTCTGCTGACTCTCAGGACCATTGTGATAGTGCTGTGGGTACTATAAGAAGGTAGGTAAATAATAAAATTTTATTGTTATGAAAGTAAAATAAAAACCCAAGCTTCAGGCTACTTGCTGTGCAAGTTTTATAACTATTAACATTGTTCCACCCCTTAATTTTGTTTCATTTTACTCTATCTCATTTTATTATTTCCCCTTTCTTTCCTTTTTTTTTTTTTAACAGAGTGCTTGGAGCGTGTGTTTCAGTGGCTGGGGTTCAGCGTACATATATATAATAATGTGACCAAAGGACGTCTAGATGAGGTTCTGAAGGAATATAAGAGTCATCCAGGCCATGCTGATGGAGATTGCTTTGTGTTCTGTGTTCTGACCCATGGGAAATTTGGAGCTGTCTACTCCTCAGATGAGGCCCTTGTTCCCATTCGGGAGATCATGTCTCATTTCACAGCCCAGCAGTGCCCTGGCCTGGCTCATAAACCCAAACTCTTTTTTATCCAGGCCTGTCAGGGTGAAGAGATACAACCTTCTGTATCCATTGAAGCAGATGCTGTAAATTCCGAGCATTCACCTCCTACCCCTTCCCTTCTGGCCAGTGTTCCCAGTGATGCAGATTTCCTTCTTGGCCTGGCCACTGTCCCTGGCTATGTATCCTTTCGGCATGTAGAGGAAGGCAGCTGGTATATTCAATCTCTGTATAATAATCTGAAGAACTTGGTCCCGAGGTGAGATGTTTGAGTTGTACTATATACTTACCTGTTTGTCCATCCATCTATCTACCTCCCTGTTCGTCTGTCTCTTCACATACCCACCCATGCATCTGTCTGTCCATCCATCCATCAGTCTACTCATCCATCTGTCCCATCTATCCATCCATTCATCCGTCATCCATCTATCCATTCATCCAAACATCTGTCCATCCATCCAAACATTTATCCATCCAATAAACCTATGTTGAGCACTAGCATATAACTGGAAAGGAAGATACAGAATTAAAAAAAAAAAAAAACAGTCCCTGCCCTCGAGTTGCTCACAGTCTAGAGAGATAGAAAAAATAGATGGGGGAAGAGCATTCCCTGTGGCAAATACACATTATACAGCATAGGTGTTATGGAAACACATAGAACTAGTACCTCACCCAGATTTGAAGGATCAGGGAAAGCTTCTAGAGATGACAAATAGATGTTAGGTAAATAATTGAGATGAAAGAAATGCTGGGCAGAAGGAAACAGTATAAATAAAGGTAAGAGGGCCTTTTATTTGTTCCTTCATTTATTTATCAGTCACTCATGTTTACTGAGTGCCTATGTATTGCCTTTGGCATTATACCTTTGATCTCCTGCCACTGCTCTGACAACTTTCCATCTGTATCTACCACGTGCTCCTTACCTGGTACCCTGGAAATGGGCCTTCATTGCAGTTCTGCCCTGTACCCCATTCTATGGTCTTTATAGCTCTGGGCAGCTTCAGCTATACCCTGGAGGCCGCTTGACCTCCATGAAAATGTCTCCAAAGTTGCCATCTCTGGTCCATTAATCTCTGAGTTTTTGGAGAGCGGAGTTATTTCATTCAACTTTATGTCCTTAGCACTTGACACAGTACCTGATGATATATTGTTGAGCTTGATAAATATTTGCTGGACCAATGAATGACTGAGTGAATCTCATTCTTAGGGTCGGTCCAATACATTTCTTGCAGCCTACCAGACATCCCACCTCCTTGTTGCCCTTGGAGCTCATATTCAGTATGCATAGTCCTCAATTCATCTTCCAGCCCTCTCTATCTGCCTTCTTCTCCTGAATTCACATTTTAAGGAATGGTCAAAGTGTTCTGGGAATTCGGAACTAGGAATTCAGGATTGGAACCTCCAGTCAACCTTAGCTTTTCCATCTTCTTCATTAATCCCTCCATCCCCACCATAGCCATCAAAAACCAATGTCCTATGACTTTGAGGACAAGGCAGATTTATCAAGGACTTACCGTGTGCGTACTGTCCTGGGTACCGAGCTAGGGGCTAGGAGTAAGTTATGAATAAGGGAGACAGAATGTCTTCTCCATGGAGCTTATAGACCAGTGAGTAAGTAAAGGTAAGAAGGTAAATATTTAAATTAATAAGATAATTTCAGGAAGTGATACCTGCTGTGAAGAAAGCAAACAAGATATTGTAGAGAATGGGGCAGGGAGCTACCTGAGAAGGCTTCTTGGTAGAGGTGATATTTCAAGTGAGACTGAGTGGTGATGAGTCAGCCACAGGAAGATCCAGAGGCAGAGAGAACAGCTGGTGTGAGACAGGATGTAAGAACTAAGAACCAGGCAAGGCCTGCTGTCCCTGAACATAGCAATGATGATGAGGATAAGTAGTGGCAATATTAATAATAATAAAAATGATGGTCAGTGGAATATTATAGCCAGTTTTCTATGTGCTTTACATAAATTTACTTCATTTACTTCTCATGGCAGTCCCTAAAATGGGTATTCTTATGGTCCTTATTTTACAGCTGAGAAAACAGAGGCATATTTAGTGTGAAATAAGTGACTGTGCCTAAGACCACACGGGTCCACGAGTGATGGAACTATGCTTCAAACCTGAGTTCTATTTCCAGAGCCTTGCTTTTTTTTTTTTTTTTCCCAGTGGTATGAATTGCCCATCCCTGGAACATTTTGGTAAATGTTAAATGTCCTACAAGCCCAGGCTCACAAGCTACCTCCTGTATGGAATCCAGGAAGTGCTCTTTTTCCTCTGAACTTGCAGTGGAACTTTGCCCACTTTTCATATAGTATTGATCACATTCTGCCTTATAGTATGCATTTTGTGTATATACCATATTTGGTACATGCTTCATGTCTGCATTTGAAGTGCCTAGAAATTTGTGTCGTGTTTATCTTTGTATCCTCCTCAAACCAAGAATAGAGAGGGCATTAGTAATAGTAGGGTCCCTTGGGGCACCTGGGTGGCTCAATCGGTTAAGCGTCCAACTCTTGACTTCAGCTCAGGTCATGATCTCATGGTTTGTGGGTTTGGGCCCTGTGTCAGGCTTTCTGTGCTGACAGGGCGGAGCCTGCTTGGGATTCTCTCTTTCTGTTCCTCCCTAACTTGTGCATATGTGCACTCTCTCTCAAAATAAACTTAAAAAAAATAGTAGAGTCCTTCTCTATCTTTATCACCTACCTATCTATTCTATCATCTATCTATCTATCTATCTATCATCTGTCTGTCTGTGTGTCTGTCTATATCCACCAGCTTGGAGGAGAAACATGGAAAAATAATTATGTGCAACCTTCCTTTGTGGACCAATGACCTTAAAATGTAAGTTGTGGAGCAGCCATCTGGCTCAGTCAGAAAAGCGTGACACTCTTAATCTCAGGGTCAGGTTCAAGCCCCATGTTGGGTGTAGATTGCTTAAAAGAAAAAAGAGGGCCACCTGGCTGGCTCAATCGGTTAAGCATCCGACTCTTGGTTTTGGCTCAGCTCATGATCTCAAGGTTTGTGGGTATGAGCCTTACACCAGGCTCCACATTCTCAGCACAGGGCCTGCTTGGGATTGTGTCTCTCAATTTCTTTCCCACCACACCGTCCCCAAGATAAATAATAAACTAAAAAAAGTTAAAATGCAAGATGTGTCTATTATAGTGTTCTTAAACATTAAATGTAATATTGAAAACTTTTGTATAATTTAGCATTTCTTTTTTTAATTTCAAAATAAGAATTTCTTTATATTTGACAGGATTCCAGTTAGAATTTTGCCCTGTTAGACTAGGAAGAAGCCACATGTTTTAGGGTTTCTTTGTATGACCTGGTATGTGATTTCTGTCTCCTGATTGAAAATATTTTTTCTTATCTGCCTGCAGACATGAAGATATCTTATCCATCCTCACTGCTGTCAACAATGATGTGAGTCAACAAGCAAACAAAGAAGGAACAAAGAGACAGATGCCCCAACCTGCTTATACACTACGGAAAAAACTAGTATTCCCTGTGCCACAGGAAAAACTTTTATTGTAGTAGAGAGTTCTCAATGACTCTTTGACTTGAAAGGAAACTTTGGTCATCTCTTCCAATCTCCCACCCACCATAGGAATCATTGATAGATGGTGAGCCTGTCATTCTAATAGGAAATGCCCTATTTTCTGATTCAACACATTCTTTAAAAATTTTTTTTTTATTTTTGACAAGTCTAATTGTTAGAACACTTTCTTTATTGAAGCCTTTGGTTGTAGTCTTGACATTAGTTTTGTGCCCTGAGAAAAAGCAATTGGCCTTGGTTTGTGTATCTGTGAGGTAAAAGGTAGTACCAGATACATTTTAAGATTCCTTTGAGCTCTAAAGAACCACTATTCTTAACCTCAACTGAGCTTTGATTTCCTCTCTGTATGACCACCCTTTGTGAACATTCTGTGTCCCTTTTGCATAGCCTTGTTTTGGACATTGGATAATGATGAGATCACACATGGTTCATTGACCCTTTCTCTGCTCTCCACTTCCTAAGGCTTCTCATCTACACATCTGCTGGGGTGAAATTTTTGTCTATATGATGCCCATTTCCAGCTTTAGTATAACAAAGGTGTTCCCACAGGAACTCTTTATCTTGGGTTGGGAACAGGTTTCACTCTAGGAAGATGATAGTTCAGTATGAAGAGAGACAACTCAGCCACTCTGGGATCAGAGACTTTACAGGCTGAGGTTAAATTCTGTGTCGATCAGAACTTTTCAGGTGCTGATGACAGAACACCCACATCACACCAACCAAAGCAAAGAAAGGAATTTATTGCCTCATTCATCTGAAAACACACAATTGGGTAGTGCTGGCTTCAGGTGAAGCTTGAATCAGGACTCAGTCTGCACTATAGAATCTCTCTCTTGGCCAGAGGTTCTTTTGGTGGCTGCACTGTGCTGACTAAAGCCAACAGCCCCTGCCTTGTCTCCAACATGTTCTGTTTCTCTGGCCCAAAGAATTGAGGAGAGAGACAGCCTTAGGGATGAAGCTATTCACAGAAGTTGTTGTCCTCTCCTTAGAGAGTTGTCTGGCTGTGCCTTGGTGGGGAGTGTGGTTCTGTATGGAAGCCTTGCTACTTTTTACATTAAGGTTTTGAATATCTTTATGTATGTGAAATTTTTTTTTTTCAATTTCAAGAGGAATTTTTCTTTTTTATTTTCTAAGGGAGGGAGATTGAAAGTCCTGTACCTAAGGCCTTTATTTATTGATGAAGAGGTTGAGGCCCAAGGAGGCAGAGTGATTTGCTATAGTCCCCCAGCCAGTTATTGTTTACAGGGTTTTATTTCCCACTTGAATGAACTGGAATGTCATGGGACATAACAGGGCTTTTTAGGAACATTTCCTTGGATATGTAGACATCCATGAAAGATATCCAGGAATGAAGAAGAATAACTCTCAGTGATGCCTGATTTTGTAATTATTAATGTGTAAGTCAAATGATCTTCCAGAACCTTTGTATATACAAGTCAAAGCGAACAGCTGGTGATTACAGTCCTTCCCCAGTTGAATATACACAGCTTTTGGCCACTTCATAGTCCTTCTCTGCAAGTGAAAGATGGTGTGGTACAAAGCAAAGAGCAAAGAATCTGGAGATAGAAGCCTTTGGTTTCTGTTTTGCCTTGTGACTTTCTGGCTCTGAGACACTAAGTCAAGCTAGTTTTTCGAGCCTTATCTATAAAGTAGAGAAAAATTACCTATTTAAGATAAGGATAGGTTAATATATAAATCCATTTAAATCTAGTTGTTGTGAGGTATATACAAGACCTTTATGTGGCAGATACCTCTGGCAGTCACCTAACGGAAATAGAGTTTGAGTTCCTTTGTGTCTAATTCCAGCTGAATTTCAGCCACGAATCAATACTAATACCCACCGATGTCCTCTTAGGGAAATGTTGGTTTTCCCCGGACTGATTCACAATGTCCCCGGCAGCAGCAGGCTAGCTCTTGGCTCTGAATCCAGCTGGACAAAACACTGCTAATGAACTCTCCTTCCTCAGCAACATTTGGGGTTTTATGTATAAGTCCCGGTCCTGTGGTCTATTTTGTATTTTTGTTTTGCTGGAACTTAGTGGTTGTGCAAGGTTAAGTTCTAGGATCAGGAAACTTTCCCATGAATTTTCTTTTCAGAGTTCTCCAGCAGGCACTTTAGGGGTCACTAGACATTTATGACTGTAAGTCACACACCTATGCAGACAGTAGGAGTACAATCATCCTTCAGTCATTTCTCCTAAATGGAGCATCTACACATTTTTCCCTCGTCTGTGTGTGTGTATGTGTGTGTGTGTGTGTGTGTGTGTGTGCGCGCCCACGTGTGTGATAATTTAGAGTGGAACACAGCAAGTGATTTGGTCACAGCTATTCAGCAGAGACTACCGCCATTGTCTGTGCAGACATTTATGAAAGAAATGTGCAGACCCAGTGAGGTTTCTGTATATTTTGCCTAGTTTTGCTCAACCTACAAGAGCTGTAGTTAGATTTTTTCTTTGTTTTCTTTTTTTTTCTCAAAAGTTGGGCTTATACCAAACAAAATGAAGGACGTGGAAAATTTTAATAGAATATTATACAAATGTTAGTTACTTAATAATGATACTCTTGGTGTTGATTATTATTAGAGATATTAGTCACCACAGCATCCTAGTGGCCTCTGCTACAAGGTTTCACCATGGCAGTGGGCAGTTGTGATATCACCAGGGTTTCCCTTAGCCAGTGCTCAGGTATTTCGAACATACAAGCAGCTGGTACAATATGGTTACTGACCAATCAAAACACATTGACCAGTATGTATAACACTGTGGTGAATGCTGCTGAATAGCAGCCCCTTATCAATCAATGATCAAGTCTCCACTGAGGTAGACCAAATTAGAAGTTTACTTCATTTTGTGGATAACTTTTGTACCATATTTGATTCACAAAATCTTCTAGGTCAGATACTTTATGAGTGATTTAGTGAAGTTGTTCTCAACCTTGGAATTCTTGGGTCCTTAGATGTTTGTGGAGTTATTCTCAGGGTCTATGAGTTCTCCACCTTCACTTTGAAATGTTGTAATTCCTTTTTGGTGATAATCTTAAAAATTAATAGGGATGCATCCTGGCTCTTCTGCATAATCATATTTGAGCAACTTTTGTGCTCACATCCTGGTGCCCATAGAAAGTGATGAACTTTGCATTGAGCTTTTTAATGTAGCATGGATTGGGGTCCATGGCCAGAGGTCCTCAGATTTACTGTCAGGCACCAGTGGTTAATCTGTTTGAAACCTGCTCCAGTTCATCCTCTTAAGCCATGATAGACTCCTAGACCATCATCCCTCAACCACTGCTTAACTCTCAACAGAGAGAACTCACACTACATACAAAGCCATGGACTGGGGAGCTTGGAAGGACCCTAGAGAACCCATGGTCCAGCCTTCAGGGTGTAAAAAGGCTTACTAAAGTCTTACAGCTGTTAGTGGAACATTTGCAATCCTGTGTATTTCCTGATTTGCAATCTTGCCGCCTGGTTTTACTTTTGGACAGCTTTAATTGTTCTTTTCCCTGTGGTGACTTGAATCTACCTGCTTAGAACATACTTAAATCAATTGCCTCTCATTCTAAACTCTGGAGCCATACCAAAGACATGTAACTCTCTTCTGGTTAAGTACATGTTTCATGTGACAAGTTATTTAGCTTTCTTTCTGGTAGGATCTGGCTCTCCTCAGAAGTCTGCAGGGGCACCTGGGTGACTCAGTCGGTTGAGCGTCTGACTCTTGATTTCAACTCAGGTCATGATCCCAGGGTTGTGGAATCCAGCCCCTCATTGGGCTCTGCACTGAGCATGGAGCCTACATGAGATTCTCTCTCTCTCTGTCTCTGTCTCTCTCTCTCTACCCCTTTCCCCTGCTCACTTTAAAATTAAAAAGGGAAAAAAAAAGTCTGCAGTTTGCTTTTAAGGATGTGAATATCACATTTGTATCTTTGAACAGTAGCTGAATTCCTAAAAATGGAAGGCTTTTAAAAAAGTACTAGGGGAAATTCTTTGTTTAAAGAAAGACTGATTTGCTAATACAAAGAAGCATTTTATAACATAACTTTAGCATATATGAATTTTTAAAAGAGGATTTTTCTATTAAAATTTTTAAATTGTATTAATTTTTACTTTTTAAATCTATTTTTGAATAGGTATTATCTTTACATTGTTCAACGATAAGAAAATACAAAGAGGTATTCAAGATAAGTGTTGCCTGCATTTCTGTCCACTAAATGCCCAGTCCTCCCACCTTTGCATCCCAGAGATAATTTCAGGATTTCTTAATGCAAATGCAAATATAGCAAGTACAAATATATATGTATTTTAAAGTAGGCTTTTTTGGAAACAGAGTACATACACTGTGAAACTCGTATCTGTCATTTGGTCTCATTTTAAATGATTCTGTTAGATGCTTGGAAGTACTGGTACAACTCTAGAACGGGAATAACTTTATGAGCTTTGTGGACTGGGTACTTGTACATAGTAGTAATTGACTCACCAATAAAATAAAGGGATTTTTTTCCTTTTTATCTTTGAGTAATATCTTTGATTTTACCTGATAACTTTTTTTTCTGCTTATATAGTAATACATGCACATTGTGGAATATTTGGGAAATAGAATAACACACAAAGAAAAAGAGTTAATTCAGTTATAATTCCATTTTGGCATTCACTTTCCCATTTTTTCACGCTGCATTTGCCCCTGAGCTTCCCAACCACCTTTAAATCAGCTTAACCACCATATCCTCCTAGTCATGCATCCAGTAAACTCTGTCTTTGCCAATATTTCCACCCAAGTTTCAATTGCAAACATTTCTCTCTATGATAGCCACCTCCTACCATTCCATCTCATTTTCTGCCAACAGTCTGCAGTGCCACTGCAGTGCCTCCCAACAGTCTGCAGTGCCACTGGGGCCTCTGGTTAGTCCATTGACCCTATCTGTCATCTTTCCAAAGCCAACACCACCCTTTACTTCTTCCCTCCTTCTTTACCCAGCTGGAGTC